GGACCGTGGACATCGACGTGGACATGGACGTGGACGTGGACGTGGACGTGGACATGGACATGGACGTGGACATGGACGTGGACGTGGACGTGGACGTGGACGTGGACATGGACGTGGACATGGACGTGGACGTGGACGTGGACGTGGACATGGACGTGGACGTGGACATGGACGTGGACATGGACCGTGGACGTGGACATGGACGTGGACGTGGACATGGACGTGGACGTGGACATGGACCGTGGACATGGACGTGGACTTGGACTGTGGACGTGGACTTGGACGTGGACGAGACGTGGACGTGGACGTGGACGTGGACATGGACGTGGACGTGGACGTGGACCTGGACGTGGACGTGGACGTGGACGTGGACGTGGACCTGGACATGGACGTGGACGTGGACGTGGACATGGACGTGGACATGGACGTGGACGTGGACGTGGACATGGACGTGGGCTTGGACCTGGACATGGACATGGACGTGGACATGGACGTGGACATGGACGTGGACTTGGACCTGGACGTGGACATGGACGTGGACATGGACGTCGACGTGGACGTGGACGTGGACGTGGACGTGGACGTGGACGTGGACGTAGACGTGGATGTGGACGTGGACGTAGACGTGGACGTGGACGGGGACGTGGACGTGGACGTGGACATGGACGTGGACGTGGACGTGGACATGGACGTGGAGGTGGACGTCGACGTGGACGTGGACGTGGACATGGACGTGGACGTGGACATGGACGTGGACGTGGACGTGGACGTGGACGTGGACGTAGAAATGGACGTGGACGTGGACGTGGACATGGACGTGGACGTAGACGTGGACGTGGACATGGACGTGGACTTGGACGTGGACGTGGACATGGACGTGGACATGGACGTAGACGTGGACGTGGACGTGGACATGGACGTGGACGTAGACGTGGACGTGGACATGGACGTGGACGTGGACATGGACGTGGACGTGGACGTGGACATGGACGTGGACATGGACGTGGACATGGACGTGGACGTGGACATTGACGTGGACGTGGACATGGACGTGGACGTGGACGTGGACGTGGACATGGACGTGGACATGGACGTGGACTTGGACGTGGACGTGGACTTGGACGTGGACGAGCATGGACGTGGACATGGACGTGGACGTGGACGTGGACATGGACGTGGACGTGGACGTGGACATGGACGTGGACATGGACGTGGACGTAGACGTGGACGTGGACGTGGACGTGGACGTGGACCTGGACATGGACGTGGACGTGGACGTGGATGTGGATGTGGACGTGGACGTGGACGTGGACGTGGACATGGACGTGGACATGGACGTGGACGTGGACGTAGAAATGGACGTGGACGTGGACGTGGACATGGACGTGGACGTGGACGTGGACGTGGACGTGGAAATGGACGTGGACGTGGACGTGGACGTGGACATGGAGATGGACGTGGACATGGACGTGGACATGGACATGGACATGGACGTGGAGGTGGACGTGGACGTGGACGTGGACGTGGACATGGACGTGGACGTGGACGTGGACGTGGACGTAGACGTGGACGTGGACATGGACGTGGACTTGGACCTGGACGTGGACATGGACGTGGACATGGACGTGGACGTGGACGTGGACGTGGACGTGGACGTGGACATGGACGTGGACGTGGACGTGGACATGGACGTGGACGTGGACGTGGACATGGACGTGGACGTGGACGTGGACATGGACGTGGACGTGGACATGGACGTGGACGTGGACGTGGACGTGGACGTGGACGTGGACGTGGACATGGACGTGGACATGGACGTGGACTTGGACGTGGACGTGGACGTGGACGTGGACGTGGACATGGACGTGGACGTGGACATGGACGTGGACGTGGACATGGACGTGGACGTGGACATGGACGTGGACGTGGACGTGGACGTGGACGTGGACGTGGACGTGGACGTGGACGTGGACGTGGACGTGGACGTGGACGTGGACGTGGACGTGGACGTGGACGTGGACATGGACGTGGACGTGGACGTGGACGTGGACATGGACGTGGACATGGACGTGGACGTGGACATGGACGTGGACGTGGACCTGGACGTGGACGTGGACGTGGACGTGGACGTGGACGTGGACATGGACGTGGACGTGGACGTGGACGTGGACCTGGACGTGGACGTGGACGTGGACGTGGACATGGACGTGGACGTGGACGTGGACGTGGACGTGGACGTGGACGTGGACGTGGACGTGGACGTGGACGTGGACGTAAACGTGGACGTGGAAGTGGACGTGGACATGGACGTGGACGTGGACATGGACATGGACGTGGACGTGGACATGGACGTGGACGTGGACATGGACGTGGACGTGGACGTGGACATGGACGTGGACGTGGACATGGACGTGGACGTGGACGTGGACGTGGACGTGGACGTAGACGTAGAAATGGACGTGGACATGGACATTGACGTGGACGTAGACGGACATGGACGTGGACTTGGACGTGGACGTGGACATGGACGTGGACATGGACGTGGACGTGGACGTGGATATGGACGTGGACGTGGACGTGGACGTGGACGTGGACGTGGACGTGGACATGGACGTGGACGTGGACGTGGACATGGACGTGGACATGGACGTGGACATGGACGTGGACATGGACGTGGACGTGGACATGGACGTGGACGTGGACGTGGACGTGGACATGGACGTGGACATGGACATGGACTTGGACGTGGACGTGGACTTGGACGTGGACGAGACGTGGACGTGGACATGGACGTGGACGTGGACGTGGACATGGACGTGGACGTGGACGTGGACATGGACGTGGACATGGACGTGGACGTAGACGTGGACGTGGACGTGGACGTGGACGTGGACGTGGACATGGACGTGGACGTGGACGTGGACGTGGATGTGGACGTGGACGTGGACCTGGAATGGACGTGGACGTGGACGTGGACGTGGAGGTGGACGTGGACATGGACAAGGACGTGGAATGGACGTGGACGTGGACGTGGACATGGACGTGGACGTGGACGTGGACATGGACGTGGACGTGGACATGGACGTGGACGTACAAATGGACATGGACGTGGACGTGGACATGGACGTGGACGTGGACGTGGACGTGGACGTGGACTTAGACGTGGACGTGGACATGGACGTGGACTTGGACGTGGACGTGGACATGGACGTGGACATGGACGTGGACGTGGACATGGACGTGGACATGGACGTGGACATGGACGTGGACGTGGACGTGGACGTGGACATGGACATGGACGTGGACATGGACGTGGACGTGGACGTGGACGTGGACATGGACATGGACGTGGACATGGACGTGGACGTGGACGTGGACGTGGACGTGGACATGGACGTGGACGTGGACGTGGACGTGGACGTGGACGTGGACATGGACGTGGACATGGACGTGGACGTGGACGTGGACGTGGACTTGGACGTGGACGAGACGTGGACGTGGACGTGGACGTGGACATGGACGTGGACGTGGACGTGGACGTGGACGTGGACGTGGACGTGGACGTGGACGTGGACGTGGACGTGGACGTGGACGTGGACGTGGACATGGACGTGGACATGGACGTGGACGTGGACGTGGACATGGACGTGGACTTGGACGTGGACATGGACATGGACGTGGACATGGACGTGGACATGGACGTGGACTTGGACGTGGACGTGGACATGGACGTGGACTTGGACGTGGACGTGGACGTGGACGTGGACGTGGACGTGGACGTGGACGTGGACGTGGACGTGGACGTGGACGTGGACGTGGACGTGGACGTGGACGTGGACGTGGACGTGGACGTGGACGTGGACATGGACGTGGACGTGGACGTGGACGTGGACGTGGACGTGGACATGGACGTGGACGTGGACATGGACGTGGACGTGGACGTGGACGTGGACGTGGACGTGGACGTAGAAATGGACGTGGACGTGGACGTGGACATGGACGTGGACGTGGACGTGGACGTGGACATGGACGTGGACTTGGACGTGGACGTGGACATGGACGTGGACATGGACGTGGACGTGGACGTGGACGTGGACATGGACGTGGACGTGGACGTGGACGTGGACATGGACGTGGACGTGGACATGGACGTGGACGTGGACGTGGACATGGACGTGGACATGGACGTGGACATGGACGTGGACGTGGACATGGACGTGGACGTGGACATGGACGTGGACGTGGACGTGGACGTGGACGTGGACATGGACGTGGACATGGACGTGGACGTGGACGGGACGTGGACTTGGACGTGGACGAGACGTGGACGTGGACGTGGACGTGGACGTGGACGTGGACGTGGACATGGACGTGGACGTGGACGTGGACGTGGACGTGGACGTGGACGTGGACGTGGAATGGACGTGGACGTGGACGTGGACGTGGACGTGGACGTGGACATGGACGTGGACGTAGAAATGGACGTGGACATGGACGTGGACATGGACGTGGACGTGGACATGGACGTGGACGTGGACGTGGACGTGGACGTGGACGTGGACGTGGACGTGGACATGGACGTGGACGTGGACGTGGACGTGGACATGGACGTGGACGTGGACGTGGACATGGACGTGGACGTGGACGTGGACATGGACGTGGACATGGACGTGGACGTGGACGTGGACGTGGACGTGGACGTGGACCTGGACATGGACGTGGACGTGGACGTGGACGTGGACGTGGACGTGGACGTGGACGTGGAAATGGACGTGGACGTGGACGTGGACGTGGACGTGGACGTGGACATGGACGTGGACGTAGAAATGGACGTGGACATGGACGTGGACATGGACGTGGACGTGGACGTGGACATGGACGTGGACGTACAAATGGACATGGACGTGGACGTGGACATGGACATGGACGTGGACGTGGACGTGGACGTGGACTAAGACGTGGACGTGGACATGGACGTGGACGTGGACGTGGACGTGGACATGGACGTGGACATGGACGTGGACGTGGACATGGACGTGGACATGGACGTGGACATGGACGTGGACGTGGACGTGGACGTGGACATGGACATGGACGTGGACATGGACGTGGACGTGGACGTGGACGTGGACGTGGACATGGACGTGGACATGGACATGGACGTGGACGTGGACGTGGACGTGGACATGGACGTGGACGTGGACGTGGACGTGGACGTGGACATGGACGTGGACATGGACGTGGACTTGGACGTGGACGTGGACTTGGACGTGGACGAGACGTGGACGTGGACGTGGACGTGGACATGGACGTGGACGTGGACGTGGACGTGGACGTGGACGTGGACATGGACGTGGACGTGGACGTGGACGTGGACGTGGACGTGGACGTGGACTGGACATGGACGTGGACGTGGACGTGGACGTGGACGTGGAAATGGACGTGGACGTGGACGTGGACGTGGACGTGGACGTGGACATGGACAAGGACGTGGAAATGGACGTGGACGTGGACGTGGACATGGACGTGGACGTGGACATGGACGTGGACGTGGACATGGACGTGGACGTAGAAATGGACGTGGACGTGGACGTGGACATGGACGTGGACGTAGACGTGGACGTGGACGTGGACGTGGACGTGGACGTGGACGTGGACATGGACGTGGACGTGGACGTGGAAATGGACGTGGACGTGGACGTGGACGTGGACATGGACGTGGACGTGGACGTGGACGTGGACGTGGACGTGGACGTGGACGTGGACATGGACGTGGACGTGGACGTGGACGTGGACGTGGACGTGGAATGGACGTGGACGTGGACGTGGAATGGACATGGACGTGGACGTGGACGTGGACGTGGACGTGGACGTGGACGTGGACGTGGACGTGGACATGGACGTGGACGTAGAAATGGACGTGGACGTGGACATGGACGTGGACGTAGACGTGGACGTGGACATGGACGTGGACTTGGACGTGGACGTGGACATGGACGTGGACATGGACGTAGACGTGGACGTGGACATGGACGTGGACGTGGACGTGGACGTGGACATGGACGTGGACGTGGACATGGACGTGGACGTGGACGTGGACATGGACGTGGACATGGACGTGGACATGGACGTGGACGTGGACATGGACGTGGACGTGGACATGGACGTGGACGTGGACGTGGACGTGGACGTGGACGTGGACATGGACGTGGACATGGACGTGGACTTGGACGTGGACGTGGACTTGGACGTGGACGAGACGTGGACGTGGACATGGACGTGGACGTGGACGTGGACATGGACGTGGACGTGGACGTGGACATGGACGTGGACATGGACGTGGACGTAGACGTGGACGTGGACGTGGACGTGGACGTGGACCTGGACATGGACGTGGACGTGGACGTGGACGTGGACGTGGACGTGGACGTGGACGTGGAAATGGACGTGGACGTGGACGTGGACGTGGACGTGGACGTGGACATGGACAAGGACGTAGAAATGGACGTGGACGTGGACGTGGACATGGACGTGGACGTGGACGTGGACATGGACGTGGACGTACAAATGGACATGGACGTGGACGTGGACATGGACGTGGACGTAGACGTGGACGTGGACGTGGACTAAGACGTGGACGTGGACATGGACGTGGACTTGGACGTGGACGTGGACATGGACGTGGACATGGACGTGGACGTGGACATGGACGTGGACATGGACGTGGACATGGACGTGGACGTGGACGTGGACGTGGACATGGACATGGACGTGGACATGGACGTGGACGTGGACGTGGACGTGGACGTGGACATGGACGTGGACATGGACGTGGACGTGGACGTGGACGTGGACGTGGACATGGACGTGGACGTGGACGTGGACGTGGACGTGGACATGGACGTGGACATGGACGTGGACGTGGACGTGGACGTGGACTTGGACGTGGACGAGACGTGGACGTGGACGTGGACGTGGACATGGACGTGGACGTGGACGTGGACGTGGACGTGGACGTGGACGTGGACATGGACGTGGACGTGGACGTGGACGTGGACGTGGACGTGGACGTGGACGTGGACGTGGACATGGACGTGGACGTGGACGTGGACGTGGACGTGGACGTGGACGTGGAATGGACGTGGACGTGGACGTGGACGTGGGGTGGACGTGGACATGGACATGGACGTGGACATGGACGTGGACGTGGACGTGGACATGGACGTGGACGTGGACGTGGACATGGACGTGGACGTGGACATGGACGTGGACGTGAAATGGACGTGGACGTGGACGTGGACATGGACGTGGACGTGGACGTGGACGTGGACGTGGACGTGGACGTGGACGTGGACGTGGACATGGACATGGACGTGGACGTGGACGTGGAAATGGACGTGGACGTGGACGTGGACGTGGACATGGACGTGGACGTGGACGTGGACGTGGACGTGGACGTGGACGTGGACATGGACGTGGACGTGGACGTGGACGTGGACGTGGAAATGGACGTGGACGTGGACGTGGACATGGACATGGACGTGGACGTGGACGTGGACATGGACATGGACATGGCATGGACGTGGACATGGACGTGGACGTGGACGTGGACATGGACGTGGACGTGGACGTGGACGTGGACATGGACGTGGACTTGGACGTGGACGTGGACATGGACGTGGACATGGACGTGGACGTGGACGTGGACGTGGACATGGACGTGGACGTGGACGTGGACATGGACGTGGACGTGGACGTGGACGTGGACATGGACGTGGACGTGGACGTGGACATGGACGTGGACATGGACGTGGACGTGGACGTGGACATGGACGTGGACGTGGACGTGGACATGGACGTGGACGTGGACGTGGACGTGGACGTGGACGTGGACATGGACGTGGACATGGACGTGGACATGGACGTGGACGTGGACGTGGACGTGGACGTGGACGTGGACGTGGACATGGACGTGGACGTGGACATGGACGTGGACGTGGACATGGACGTGGACGTGGACGTGGACGTGGACGTGGACGTGGACGTGGACGTGGACGTGGACGTGGACGTGGACGTGGACGTGGACGTGGACGTGGACATGGACGTGGACATGGACGTGGACGTGGACGTGGACATGGACGTGGACGTGGACGTGGACGTGGACGTGGACGTGGACGTGGACATGGACGTGGACGTGGACGTGGACGTGGACGTGGACGTGGACGTGGACGTGGACGTGGACATGGACGTGGACGTGGACGTGGACGTGGACGTGGACGTGGACTTGGACGTGGACATGGACGTGGACGTGGACGTGGACGTGGACGTGGACGTGGACATGGACGTGGACGTGGACGTGGACGTGGAAATGGACGTGGACGTGGACGTGGACGTGGACGTGGACATGGACGTGGACGTGGACGTGGACGTGGACGTGGACGTGGACATGGACGTGGACGTGGACGTAGTTATGGACGTGGACGTGGACGTGGACGTGGACGTGGACGTGGACATGGACGTGGACGTGGACATGGACGTGGACGTGGACGTGGACGTGGACGTGGACGTGGAAATGGACGTGGACGTGGACGTGGACATGGACGTGGACGTGGACGTGGACGTGGACATGGACGTGGACGTGGACGTGGACGTGGACATGGACGTGGACATGGACGTGGACGTGGACGTGGACGTGGACATGGACGTGGACGTGGACGTGGACGTGGACATGGACGTGGACGTGGACATGGACGTGGACGTGGACGTGGACATGGACGTGGACATGGACGTGGACATGGACGTGGACGTGGACATGGACGTGGACGTGGACATGGACGTGGACGTGGACGTGGACGTGGACGTGGACGTGGACATGGACGTGGACATGGACGTGGACTTGGACGTGGACGTGGACTTGGACGTGGACGAGACGTGGACGTGGACGTGGACGTGGACATGGACGTGGACGTGGACGTGGACATGGACGTGGACGTGGACGTGGACATGGACGTGGACGTGGACATGGACGTGGACGTGGAAATGGACATGGACGTGGACGTGGACATGGACGTGGACGTGGACGTGGACGTGGACGTGGACTTGGACGTGGACGTGGACATGGACGTGGACTTGGACGTGGACGTGGACATGGACGTGGACATGGACGTGGACGTGGACGTGGACATGGACATGGACGTGGACGTGGACGTGGACGTGGACATGGACGTGGACGTGGACGTGGACATGGACGTGGACGTGGACGTGGACATGGACGTGGACATGGACGTGGACATGGACGTGGACGTGGACATGGACGTGGACGTGGACATGGACGTGGACGTGGACGTGGACGTGGACGTGGACATGGACGTGGACGTGGACGTGGACGTGGACGTGGACGTGGACATGGACGTGGACGTGGACATGGACGTGGACGTGGACGTGGACATGGACGTGGACGTGGACGTGGACGTGGACATGGACGTGGACGTGGACGTGGACATGGACGTGGACGTGGACATGGACGTGGACATGGACGTGGACGTGGACGTGGACGTGGACGTGGACGTGGACGTGGACGTGGACGTGGACGTGGACGTGGACGTGGACGTGGACGTGGACGTGGACGTGGACGTGGACGTGGACGTGGACATGGACGTGGACGTGGACGTGGACGTGGACGTGGACGTGGACGTGGACGTGGACGTGGACGTGGACATGGACGTGGACGTGGACGTGGACGTGGACATGGACGTGGACATGGACGTGGACTTGGACGTGGACGTGGACGTGGACGTGGAAATGGACGTGGACGTGGACGTGGACATGGACGTGGACGTGGACGTGGACGTGGACATGGACGTGGACGTGGACGTGGACGTGGACGTGGACGTGGACGTGGACATGGACGTGGACGTGGACGTGGACGTGGACGTGGACGTGGACATGGACGTGGACGTGGACATGGACGTGGACGTGGACGTGGACGTGGACATGGACGTGGACGTGGACGTGGACGTGGACATGGACGTGGACGTGGACGTGGACATGGACGTGGACGTGGACGTGGACGTGGACGTGGACGTGGACGTGGACGTGGACGTGGACGTGGACGTGGACGTGGACGTGGACGTGGACATGGACGTGGACGTGGACGTGGACGTGGACGTGGACGTGGACGTGGACGTGGACGTGGACGTGGACGTGGACGTGGACATGGACGTGGACGTGGACGTGGACGTGGACATGGACGTGGACATGGACGTGGACTTGGACGTGGACGTGGACGTGGACGTGGAAATGGACGTGGACGTGGACGTGGACATGGACGTGGACGTGGACGTGGACGTGGACATGGACGTGGACGTGGACGTGGACGTGGACGTGGACATGGACGTGGACATGGACGTGGACGTGGACGTGGACGTGGACATGGACGTGGACGTGGACGTGGTTATGGACGTGGACGTGGACGTGGACGTGGACATGGACGTGGACATGGACGTGGACATGGACGTGGACATGGACGTGGACGTGGACATGGACGTGGACATGGACGTGGACGTGGACATGGACGTGGACGTGGACGTGGAAATGGACGTGGACGTGGACATGGACGTGGACTTGGACGTGGACGTGGACATGGACGTGGACATGGACGTGGACGTGGACGTGGACGTGGACATGGACGTGGACGTGGACGTGGACGTGGACATGGACGTGGACGTGGACATGGACGTGGACGTGGACGTGGACATGGACGTGGACATGGACGTGGACGTGGACATGGACGTGGACGTGGACATGGACGTGGACGTGGACGTGGACGTGGACGTGGACGTGGACGTGGACATGGACGTGGACATGGACGTGGACTTGGACATGGACGTGGACTTGGACGTGGACGTGGACGTGGACGTGGACATGGACGTGGACGTGGACATGGACGTGGACGTGGACGTGGACGTGGACGTGGACGTGGAAATGGACGTGGACGTGGACGTGGACATGGACGTGGACGTGGACGTGGACGTGGACATGGACGTGGACTTGGACGTGGACGTGGACATGGACGTGGACATGGACGTGGACGTGGACGTGGACGTGGACATGGACGTGGACGTGGACGTGGACGTGGACATGGACGTGGACGTGGACATGGACGTGGACGTGGACGTGGACATGGACGTGGACATGGACGTGGACATGGACGTGGACGTGGACATGGACGTGGACGTGGACATGGACGTGGACGTGGACGTGGACGTGGACGTGGACGTGGACGTGGACATGGACGTGGACATGGACGTGGACTTGGACGTGGACGTGGACGTGGACGTGGACGTGGACGTGGACGTGGACGTGGACGTGGACGTGGACATGGACGTGGACGTGGACGTGGACATGGACGTGGACGTGGACGTGGACATGGACGTGGACGTGGACATGGACGTGGACGTGGAAATGGACATGGACGTGGACGTGGACATGGACGTGGACGTGGACGTGGACGTGGACGTGGACTTGGACGTGGACGTGGACATGGACGTGGACTTGGACGTGGACGTGGACATGGACGTGGACATGGACGTGGACGTGGACGTGGACGTGGACATGGACGTGGACGTGGACGTGGACGTGGACATGGACGTGGACGTGGACGTGGACGTGGACATGGACGTGGACGTGGACGTGGACATGGACGTGGACATGGACGTGGACATGGACGTGGACGTGGACATGGACGTGGACGTGGACATGGACGTGGACGTGGACGTGGACGTGGACATGGACGTGGACGTGGACTTGGACGTGGACGTGGACATGGACGTGGACGTGGACATGGACGTGGACGTGGACGTGGACATGGACGTGGACGTGGACGTGGACGTGGACATGGACGTGGACGTGGACGTGGACATGGACGTGGACGTGGACATGGACGTGGACATGGACGTGGACGTGGACGTGGACGTGGACGTGGACGTGGACGTGGACGTGGACGTGGACATGGACGTGGACGTGGACGTGGACGTGGACGTGGACGTGGACGTGGACGTGGACGTGGACGTGGACATGGACGTGGACGTGGACGTGGACGTGGACGTGGACGTGGACGTGGACGTGGACGTGGACGTGGACGTGGACATGGACGTGGACGTGGACGTGGACGTGGACATGGACGTGGACATGGACGTGGACGTGGACGTGGACGTGGACGTGGACGTGGAAATGGACGTGGACGTGGACGTGGACATGGACGTGGACGTGGACGTGGACGTGGAAATGGACGTGGACGTGGACGTGGACGTGGACGTGGACGTGGACATGGACGTGGACATGGACGTGGACGTGGACGTGGACGTGGACATGGACGTGGACGTGGACGTGGACGTGGACGTGGACGTGGACGTAGTTATGGACGTGGACGTGGACGTGGACGTGGACGTGGACGTGGACATGGACGTGGACATGGACGTGGACATGGACGTGGACGTGGACATGGACGTGGACATGGACGTGGACGTGGACATGGACGTGGACGTGGACGTGGACATGGACGTGGACGTGGACATGGACGTGGACTTGGACGTGGACGTGGACATGGACGTGGACATGGACGTGGACGTGGACGTGGACGTGGACATGGACGTGGACGTGGACGTGGACGTGGACATGGACGTGGACATGGACGTGGACATGGACGTGGACGTGGACATGGACGTGGACGTGGACATGGACGTGGACGTGGACGTGGACGTGGACGTGGACGTGGACGTGGACGTGGACGTGGACATGGACGTGGACATGGACGTGGACGTGGACATGGACGTGGACGTGGACGTGGACGTGACGTGGACGTGGACGTGGACGTGGACGTGGACGTGGACGTGGACATGGACGTGGACGTGGACGTGGACGTGGACGTGGACGTGGACGTGGACGTGGACATGGACGTGGACGTGGAAATGGACGTGGACGTGGACGTGGACATGGACGTGGACGTGGACGTGGACGTGGACGTGGACGTGGACATGGACGTGGACGTAGAAATGGACGTGGACGTGGACGTGGACATGGACGTGGACGTGGACGTGGACGTGGACGTGGACGTGGACGTGGACGTGGACGTGGACGTGGACATGGACGTGGACATGGACGTGGACGTGGACGTGGACGTGGACGTGGACGTGGACGTGGACGTGGACATGGACGTGGACGTGGAATGGACGTGGACGTGGACGTGGACATGGACGTGGACGTGGACGTGGACATGGACGTGGACGTGGACATGGACGTGGACGTGGACATGGACGTGGACGTGGACGTGGACATGGACGTGGACGTGGACGTGGACGTGGACGTGGACGTGGACGTGGACGTGGACGTGGACGTGGACGTGGACATGGACGTGGACATGGACGTGGACGTGGACGTGGACGTGGAAATGGACGTGGACGTGGACGTGGACGTGGACATGGACGTGGACATGGACGTGGACGTGGACGTGGACGTGGAAATGGACGTGGACGTGGACGTGGACATGGACGTGGACGTGGACGTGGACGTGGACGTGGACGTGGAATGGACGTGGACGTGGACGTGGACGTGGACATGGACATGGACGTGGACGTGGACATGGACGTGGACATGGACATGGACGTGGACGTGGACGTGGACGTGGACGTGGACGTGGACATGGACGTGGACATGGACGTGGACGTGGACGTGGACGTGGACGTGGACGTGGACGTGGACGTGGACATGGACGTGGACTTGACGTGGACGTGGACATGGACGTGGACATGGACGTGGACGTGGACGTGGACGTGGACATGGACGTGGACGTGGACGTGGACGTGGACATGGACGTGGACGTGGACATGGACGTGGACGTGGACGTGGACATGGACGTGGACGTGGACATGGACGTGGACGTGGACATGGACGTGGACGTGGACATGGACGTGGACGTGGACGTGGACGTGGACGTGGACATGGACGTGGACATGGACGTGGACTTGGACGTGGACGTGGACTTGGACGTGGACGTGACGTGGACGTGGACGTGGACGTGGACATGGACGTGGACGTGGACGTGGACATGGACGTGGACGTGGACGTGGACGTGGACGTGGACGTGGACGTGGACATGGACGTGGACGTGGACGTGGACGTGGACGTGGACGTGGAAATGGACGTGGACGTGGACGTGGACGTGGACGTGGACGTGGACATGGACATGGACGTGGACATGGACGTGGACGTGGACGTGGACATGGACGTGGACGTGGACGTGGACATGGACGTGGACGTGGACATGGACGTGGACGTGGAAATGGACGTGACAGTGGACGTGGACATGGACGTGGACGTGGACGTGGACGTGGACGTGGACGTGGACGTGGACATGGACGTGGACGTGGACGTGGACGTGGACGTGGACGTGGACGTGGACATGGACGTGGACGTGGACGTGGACGTGGACGTGGACGTGGACGTGGACGTGGACGTGGACGTGGACATGGACGTGGACGTGGACGTGGACGTGGACGTGGACGTGGACGTGGACGTGGACGTGGACGTGGACGTGGACATGGACGTGGACGTGGACGTGGACATGGACGTGGACGTGGACGTGGACGTGGACGTGGACGTGGACGTGGACGTGGACGTGGACATGGACGTGGACATGGACGTGGACGTGTGGACGTGGACGTGGACGTGGACGTGGACGTGGACGTGGACATGGACGTGGACGTGGACGTGGACGTGGACGTGGACGTGGACGTGGACGTGGACGTGGACGTGGACGTGGACATGGACGTGGACATGGACGTGGACGTGTGGACGTGGACGTGGACGTGGACGTGGACGTGGACGTGGACGTGGACATGGACGTGGACGTGGACGTGGACGTGGACGTGGACGTGGACGTGGACATGGACGTGGACGTGGACGTGGACGTGGACGTGGACGTGGACGTGGACGTGGACGTGGACGTGGACGTGGACGTGGACGTGGACGTGGACGTGGACGTGGACGTGGACGTGGACGTGGACGTGGACGTGGACGTGGACGTGGACGTGGACGTGGACGTGGACGTGGACATGGACGTGGACGTGGACATGGACGTGGACGTGGACGTGGACGTGGACATGGACATGGACGTGGACGTGGACGTGGACGTGGACGTGGACGTGGACGTGGACGTGGACGTGGACATGGACGTGGACGTGGACGTGGACATGGACGTGGACATGGACGTGGACGTGGACGTGGACGTGGACATGGACGTGGACGTGGACATGGACGTGGACGTGGACGTGGACGTGGACGTGGACGTGGACGTGGACATGGACGTGGACGTGGACGTGGACGTGGACATGGACGTGGACGTGGACGTGGACGTGGACGTGGACGTGGACGTGGACATGGACGTGGACGTGGACGTGGACGTGGACATGGACGTGGACGTGGACGTGGACGTGGACATGGACGTGGACGTGGACATGGACGTGGACGTGGACATGGACGTGGACGTGGACATGGACGTGGACGTGGACGTGGACGTGGACGTGGACGTGGACGTGGACGTGGACGTGGACGTGGACGTGGACGTGGACATGGACGTGGACGTGGACGTGGACGTGGACATGGACGTGGACGTGGACGTGGACGTGGACGTGGACGTGGACGTGGACGTGGACGTGGACGTGGACGTGGACATGGACGTGGACGTGGACGTGGACGTGGACGTGGACGTGGACGTGGACATGGACGTGGACGTGGACGTGGACGTGGACGTGGACGTGGACGTGGACGTGGACGTGGACGTGGACGTGGACGTGGACGTGGACGTGGACGTGGACGTGGACGTGGACGTGGACGTGGACGTGGACGTGGACGTGGACGTGGACGTGGACGTGGACGTGGACGTGGACGTGGACGTGGACGTGGACATGGACGTGGACGTGGACGTGGACGTGGACATGGACGTGGACGTGGACGTGGACGTGGACGTGGACGTGGACGTGGACGTGGACATGGACGTGGACGTGGACGTGGACATGGACGTGGACGTGGACGTGGACGTGGACGTGGACGTGGACGTGGACGTGGACATGGACGTGGACATGGACGTGGACGTGTGGACGTGGACGTGGACGTGGACGTGGACGTGGACGTGGACATGGACGTGGACGTGGACGTGGACGTGGACGTGGACGTGGACGTGGACGTGGACGTGGACGTGGACGTGGACATGGACGTGGACATGGACATGGACGTGTGGACGTGGACGTGGACGTGGACGTGGACGTGGACGTGGACGTGGACGTGTGGACGTGGACATGGACGTGGACATGGACGTGGACTTGGACGTGGACGTGGACGTGGACGTGGACATGGACGTGGACATGGACGTGGACGTGGACGTGGACATGGACGTGGACGTGGACGTGGACGTGGACGTGGACGTGGACGTGGACGTGGACGTGGACGTGGACATGGACGTGGACGTGTGGACGTGGACGTGGACGTGGACGTGGACGTGGACGTGGACGTGGACGTGGACGTGGACGTGGACATGGACGTGGACGTGGACGTGGACGTGGACGTGGACGTGGACGTGGACATGGACGTGGACGTGGACATGGACGTGGACGTGGACGTGGACGTGGACGTGGACGTGGACGTGGACGTGGACGTGGACGTGGACGTGGACGTGGACGTGGACGTGGACGTGGACGTGGACGTGGACGTGGACGTGGACGTGGACGTGGACGTGGACGTGGACGTGGACGTGGACGTGGACGTGGACATGGACGTGGACGTGGACGTGGACGTGGACATGGACGTGGACGTGGACGTGGACGTGGACGTGGACGTGGACGTGGACGTGGACATGGACGTGGACGTGGACGTGGACATGGACGTGGACGTGGACGTGGACGTGGACGTGGACGTGGACGTGGACGTGGACATGGACGTGGACATGGACGTGGACGTGTGGACGTGGACGTGGACGTGGACGTGGACGTGGACGTGGACATGGACGTGGACGTGGACGTGGACGTGGACGTGGACGTGGACGTGGACGTGGACGTGGACGTGGACGTGGACATGGACGTGGACATGGACGTGGACGTGTGGACGTGGACGTGGACGTGGACGTGGACGTGGACGTGGACGTGGACGTGGACGTGGACATGGACGTGGACGTGGACGTGGACGTGGACGTGGACGTGGACGTGGACATGGACGTGGACGTGGACGTGGACGTGGACGTGGACGTGGACGTGGACGTGGACGTGGACGTGGACGTGGACGTGGACGTGGACGTGGACGTGGACGTGGACGTGGACGTGGACGTGGACGTGGACGTGGACGTGGACGTGGACGTGGACGTGGACGTGGACGTGGACGTGGACGTGGACGTGGACATGGACGTGGACGTGGACGTGGACGTGGACATGGACGTGGACGTGGACGTGGACGTGGACGTGGACGTGGACGTGGACGTGGACGTGGACATGGACGTGGACGTGGACGTGGACATGGACGTGGACGTGGACGTGGACGTGGACATGGACGTGGACGTGGACGTGGACGTGGACGTGGAATGGACGTGGACGTGGACGTGGACATGGACGTGGACGTGGACGTGGACATGGACGTGGACGTGGACGTGGACGTGGACGTGGACATGGACGTGGACATGGACGTGGACGTGGACGTGGACATGGACGTGGACGTGGACGTGGACATGGACGTGGACGTGGACGTGGACGTGGACGTGGACATGGACGTGGACATGGACGTGGACGTGGACATGGACGTGGACATGGACGTGGACATGGACGTGGACATGGACGTGGACGTGGACATGGACGTGGTTATGGACGTGGACGTGGACGTGGACGTGGACATGGACGTGGACATGGACGTGGACGTGGACGTGGACATGGACGTGGACGTGGACATGGACGTGGACGTGGACGTAGTTATGGACGTGGACGTGGACGTGGACGTGGACATGGACGTGGACATGGACGTGGACATGGACGTGGACGTGGACATGGACGTGGACATGGACGTGGACGTGGACGTGGACATGGACGTGGACGTGGACGTGGACATGGACGTGGACGTGGACGTGGACGTGGACATGGACGTGGACGTGGACATGGACGTGGACGTGGACGTGGACATGGACGTGGACGTGGACGTGGACATGGACGTGGACGTGGACGTGGACATGGACGTGGACGTGGACGTGGACGTGGACGTGGACGTGGACATGGACGTGGACGTGGACGTGGACATGGACGTGGACGTGGACGTGGACGTGGACGTGGACGTGGACGTGGACGTGGACGTGGACGTGGACGTGGACGTGGACGTGGACGTGGACGTGGACGTGGACGTGGACGTGGACGTGGACGTGGACGTGGACGTGGACGTGGACATGGACGTGGACGTGGACGTGGACATGGACGTGGACGTGGACGTGGACATGGACGTGGACGTGGACGTGGACATGGACGTGGACGTGGACGTGGACGTGGACGTGGACGTGGACGTGGACGTGGACGTGGACGTGGACATGGACGTGGACGTGGACGTGGACGTGGACGTGGACGTGGACGTGGACGTGGACGTGGACGTGGACATGGACGTGGACGTGGACGTGGACGTGGACGTGGACGTGGACATGGACGTGGACGTGGACGTGGACGTGGACGTGGACGTGGACGTGGACGTGGACGTGGACGTGGACGTGGACGTGGACGTGGACGTGGACGTGGACATGGACGTGGACGTGGACGTGGACGTGGACGTGGACGTGGACATGGACGTGGACGTGGACGTGGACGTGGACGTGGACGTGGACGTGGACGTGGACGTGGACATGGACGTGGACATGGACGTGGACGTGGACGTGGACGTGGACGTGGACATGGACGTGGACGTGGACGTGGACGTGGACGTGGACGTGGACGTGGACGTGGACGTGGACGTGGACGTGGACGTGGACGTGGACGTGGACGTGGACGTGGACGTGGACGTGGACGTGGACGTGGACGTGGACGTGGACGTGGACGTGGACGTGGACGTGGACATGGACGTGGACGTGGACATGGACGTGGACGTGGACGTGGACGTGGACGTGGACATGGACGTGGACGTGGACGTGGACGTGGACGTGGACGTGGACGTGGACGTGGACGTGGACATGGACGTGGACGTGGACGTGGACATGGACGTGGACATGGACGTGGACGTGGACGTGGACGTGGACATGGACGTGGACGTGGACGTGGACGTGGACGTGGACGTGGACGTGGACGTGGACGTGGACGTGGACGTGGACGTGGACGTGGACGTGGACGTGGACGTGGACGTGGACGTGGACATGGACGTGGACGTGGACGTGGACGTGGACGTGGACGTGGACGTGGACATGGACGTGGACGTGGACGTGGACATGGACGTGGACGTGGACGTGGACGTGGACGTGGACGTGGACGTGGACATGGACGTGGACGTGGACATGGACGTGGACGTGGACATGGACGTGGACGTGGACGTGGACGTGGACGTGGACGTGGACGTGGACGTGGACGTGGACGTGGACGTGGACGTGGACGTGGACATGGACGTGGACGTGGACGTGGACGTGGACATGGACGTGGACGTGGACGTGGACGTGGACGTGGACGTGGACGTGGACGTGGACGTGGACGTGGACGTGGACATGGACGTGGACGTGGACGTGGACGTGGACGTGGACGTGGACGTGGACATGGACGTGGACGTGGACGTGGACGTGGACGTGGACGTGGACGTGGACGTGGACGTGGACGTGGACGTGGACGTGGACGTGGACGTGGACGTGGACGTGGACGTGGACGTGGACGTGGACGTGGACGTGGACGTGGACGTGGACGTGGACGTGGACGTGGACGTGGACGTGGACGTGGACGTGGACATGGACGTGGACGTGGACGTGGACATGGACGTGGACGTGGACGTGGACGTGGACGTGGACGTGGACGTGGACGTGGACGTGGACATGGACGTGGACGTGGACGTGGACATGGACGTGGACGTGGACGTGGACGTGGACGTGGACGTGGACGTGGACGTGGACATGGACGTGGACATGGACGTGGACGTGTGGACGTGGACGTGGACGTGGACGTGGACGTGGACGTGGACATGGACGTGGACGTGGACGTGGACGTGGACGTGGACGTGGACGTGGACGTGGACGTGGACGTGGACGTGGACATGGACGTGGACATGGACGTGGAGACGTGGACGTGGACGTGGACGTGGACGTGGACGTGGACGTGGACGTGTGGACGTGGACATGGACGTGGACATGGACGTGGACGTGGACGTGGACGTGGACGTGGACGTGGACATGGACGTGGACATGGACGTGGACGTGGACGTGGACATGGACGTGGACGTGGACGTGGACGTGGACGTGGACGTGGACGTGGACGTGGACATGGACGTGGACATGGACGTGGACGTGTGGACGTGGACGTGGACGTGGACGTGGACGTGGACGTGGACGTGGACGTGGACGTGGACGTGGACGTGGACGTGGACGTGGACATGGACGTGGACGTGGACGTGGACGTGGACGTGGACGTGGACGTGGACATGGACGTGGACGTGGACATGGACGTGGACGTGGACGTGGACGTGGACGTGGACGTGGACGTGGACGTGGACGTGGACGTGGACGTGGACGTGGACGTGGACGTGGACGTGGACGTGGACGTGGACGTGGACGTGGACGTGGACGTGGACGTGGACGTGGACGTGGACGTGGACGTGGACGTGGACATGGACGTGGACGTGGACGTGGACGTGGACGTGGACATGGACGTGGACGTGGACGTGGACGTGGACGTGGACGTGGACGTGGACGTGGACATGGACGTGGACGTGGACGTGGACATGGACGTGGACGTGGACGTGGACGTGGACGTGGACGTGGACGTGGACGTGGACATGGACGTGGACATGGACGTGGACGTGTGGACGTGGACGTGGACGTGGACGTGGACATGGACGTGGACATGGACGTGGACGTGGACGTGGACGTGGACGTGGACGTGGACGTGGACGTGGACGTGGACGTGGACGTGGACATGGACGTGGACATGGACGTGGACGTGTGGACGTGGACGTGGACGTGGACGTGGACGTGGACGTGGACGTGGACGTGGACATGGACGTGGACGTGGACGTGGACATGGACGTGGACGTGGACGTGGACGTGGACGTGGACGTGGACGTGGACATGGACGTGGACGTGGACGTGGACGTGGACGTGGACGTGGACGTGGACGTGGACGTGGACGTGGACGTGGACGTGGACGTGGACGTGGACGTGGACGTGGACGTGGACGTGGACGTGGACGTGGACGTGGACGTGGACGTGGACGTGGACGTGGACGTGGACGTGGACGTGGACGTGGACGTGGACATGGACGTGGACGTGGACGTGGACGTGGACATGGACGTGGACGTGGACGTGGACGTGGACGTGGACGTGGACGTGGACGTGGACGTGGACATGGACGTGGACGTGGACGTGGACATGGACGTGGACGTGGACGTGGACGTGGACATGGACGTGGACGTGGACGTGGACGTGGACGTGGAAATGGACGTGGACGTGGACGTGGACATGGACGTGGACGTGGACGTGGACGTGGAAATGGACGTGGACGTGGACGTGGACGTGGACGTGGACGTGGACGTGGACATGGACGTGGACATGGACGTGGACGTGGACGTGGACATGGACGTGGACGTGGACATGGACGTGGACGTGGACGTGGACATGGACGTGGACGTGGACGTGGACGTGGACGTGGACGTGGACATGGACGTGGTTATGGACGTGGACGTGGACGTGGACATGGACGTGGACGTGGACGTGGACATGGACGTGGACGTGGACGTGGACGTGGTTATGGACGTGGACGTGGACGTGGACATGGACGTGGACATGGACGTGGACATGGACGTGGACGTGGACGTGGACGTGGACATGGACGTGGACGTGGACGTAGTATGGACGTGGACGTGGACGTGGACGTGGACATGGACGTGGACATGGACGTGGACATGGACGTGGACATGGACATGGACGTGGACATGGACGTGGACGTGGACGTGGAAATGGACGTGGACGTGGACGTGGAAATGGACGTGGACGTGGACGTGGACGTGGACGTGGACGTGGACGTGGACGTGGACGTGGACGTGGACGTGGACATGGACGTGGACGTGGACGTGGACATGGACGTGGACGTGGACGTGGACATGGACGTGGACGTGGACGTGGACGTGGACGTGGACATGGACGTGGACGTGGACGTGGACATGGACGTGGACGTGGACGTGGACGTGGACGTGGACGTGGACGTGGACGTGGACGTGGACGTGGACGTGGACGTGGACGTGGACGTGGACGTGGACGTGGACGTGGACGTGGACGTGGACGTGGACGTGGACGTGGACGTGGACGTGGACATGGACGTGGACGTGGACGTGGACATGGACGTGGACGTGGACGTGGACGTGGACGTGGACGTGGACGTGGACATGGACGTGGACGTGGACGTGGACGTGGACGTGGACGTGGACGTGGACGTGGACGTGGACGTGGACATGGACGTGGACGTGGACGTGGACGTGGACGTGGACGTGGACGTGGACGTGGACGTGGACGTGGACATGGACGTGGACGTGGACGTGGACGTGGACGTGGACATGGACGTGGACGTGGACGTGGACGTGGACGTGGACGTGGACGTGGACGTGGACGTGGACGTGGACGTGGACGTGGACGTGGACGTGGACGTGGACGTGGACGTGGACATGGACGTGGACGTGGACGTGGACGTGGACATGGACATGGACGTGGACGTGGACGTGGACGTGGACGTGGACGTGGACGTGGACATGGACGTGGACGTGGACGTGGACGTGGACGTGGACGTGGACATGGACGTGGACGTGGACGTGGACATGGACGTGGACGTGGACATGGACGTGGACGTGGACGTGGACGTGGACGTGGACGTGGACGTGGACGTGGACGTGGACATGGACGTGGACATGGACGTGGACGTGGACGTGGACGTGGACGTGGACGTGGACGTGGACGTGGACATGGACGTGGACGTGGACATGGACATGGACGTGGACGTGGACGTGGACGTGGACGTGGACGTGGACGTGGACGTGGACGTGGACGTGGACGTGGACGTGGACGTGGACGTGGACGTGGACGTGGACGTGGACGTGGACGTGGACATGGACGTGGACGTGGACATGGACGTGGACGTGGACGTGGACGTGGACGTGGACGTGGACATGGACGTGGACGTGGACATGGACGTGGACGTGGACGTGGACGTGGACGTGGACGTGGACGTGGACGTGGACATGGACGTGGACGTGGACGTGGACGTGGACGTGGACGTGGACATGGACGTGGACGTGGACGTGGACGTGGAAATGGACGTGGACGTGGACGTGGACGTGGACGTGGACGTGGACGTGGACATGGACGTGGACGTGGACGTGGACATGGACGTGGACGTGGACGTGGACGTGGACGTGGACGTGGACGTGGACATGGACGTGGACGTGGACGTGGACATGGACGTGGACATGGACGTGGACGTGGACGTGGACGTGGAAATGGACGTGGACGTGGACGTGGACATGGACGTGGACGTGGACGTGGACGTGGACGTGGACGTGGACGTGGACGTGGACGTGGACATGGACGTGGACGTGGACGTGGACGTGGACGTGGACATGGACGTGGACGTGGACGTGGACATGGACGTGGACATGGACGTGGACGTGGACGTGGACATGGACGTGGACGTGGACGTGGACGTGGACGTGGACGTGGACGTGGACGTGGACGTGGACGTGGACTGGACGTGGACGTGGACATGGACGTGGACATGGACGTGGACGTGGACGTGGACGTGGACGTGGACGTGGACATGGACGTGGACGTGGACGTGGACGTGGACGTGGACGTGGACGTGGACGTGGACGTGGACGTGGACGTGGACGTGGACATGGACGTGGACGTGGACGTGGACGTGGACGTGGACGTGGACGTGGACGTGGACGTGGACGTGGACGTGGACGTGGACGTGGACGTGGACGTGGACGTGGACGTGGACGTGGACGTGGACGTGGACGTGGACGTGGACGTGGACGTGGACGTGGACGTGGACGTGGACATGGACGTGGACATGGACGTGGACATGGACATGGACGTGGACGTGGACGTGGACGTGGACATGGACGTGGACGTGGACGTGGACGTGGACGTGGACGTGGACGTGGACGTGGACATGGACGTGGACGTGGACGTGGACGTGGACGTGGACGTGGACATGGACGTGGACATGGACGTGGACGTGGACGTGGACGTGGACGTGGACGTGGACGTGGACGTGGACGTGGACATGGACGTGGACGTGGACGTGGACGTGGACGTGGACGTGGACGTGGACATGGACGTGGACGTGGACGTGGACATGGACGTGGACGTGGACGTGGACGTGGACATGGACGTGGACGTGGACATGGACGTGGACGTGGACGTGGACGTGGACGTGAACGTGGACGTGGACGTGGACGTGGACGTGGAATGGACGTGGACGTGGACGTGGACGTGGACGTGGACGTGGAAATGGACGTGGACGTGGACGTGGACGTGGACGTGGACGTGGAAATGGACGTGGACGTGGACGTGGACATGGACGTGGACGTGGACGTGGACATGGACGTGGACGTGGACGTGGACATGGACGTGGACGTGGACATGGACGTGGACGTGGACGTGGACGTGGACGTGGACGTGGACGTGGACGTGGAAATGGACGTGGACGTGGACGTGGACATGGACGTGGACGTGGACGTGGACATGGACGTGGACGTGGACGTGGACGTGGACGTGGACGTGGACGTGGACGTGGACATGGACGTGGACATGGACGTGGACGTGGACGTGGACATGGACGTGGACGTGGACATGGACGTGGACGTGGACATGGACGTGGACGTGGACGTGGACGTGGACGTGGACGTAGAAATGGACGTGGACGTGGACGTGGACTGGTGGACGTGGACGTGGAAGTGGACGTGGACGTGGACATGGACGTGGACGTGGACATGGACGTGGACGTGGACGTGGACGTGGACGTGGACGTGGACATGGACGTGGACGTGGACGTGGACATGGACGTGGACGTGGACATGGACGTGGACGTGGACGTGGACATGGACGTGGACGTGGACGTGGACATGGACGTGGACGTGGACTGGACGTGGACGTGGACGTGGACGTGGACGTGGACGTGGACGTGGACATGGACGTGACGTGGACGTGGACGTGGACGTGGACGTGACGTGGACGTGGACGTGGACGTGGACGTGGACGTGGACGTGGACGTGGACGTGGACGTGGACGTGGACATGGACGTGACGTGGACGTGGACGTGGACGTGGACGTGGACGTGGACGTGGACGTGGACGTGGACGTGGACGTGGACGTGGACGTGGACGTGGACGTGGACGTGGACGTGGACGTGGACGTGGACGTGGACGTGGACGTGGACTGGACGTGGACGTGGACGTGGACTGGACGTGGACGTGGACGTGGACATGGACGTGGACGTGGACGTGGACGTGGACGTGGACGTGGACGTGGACGTGGACGTGGACGTGGACGTGGACGTGGACGTGGACGTGGACATGGACGTGGACGTGGACGTGGACGTGGACGTGGACGTGGACGTGGACGTGGACGTGGACGTGGAAATGGACGTGGACGTGGACGTGGACGTGGACGTGGACATGGACATGGACGTGGACGTGGACGTGGACGTGGACGTGGACGTGGACGTGGACGTGGACGTGGACGTGGACGTGGACGTGGACGTGGACGTGGACGTGGACATGGACGTGGACGTGGACGTGGACGTGGACGTGGACGTGGACGTGGACGTGGACGTGGACGTGGACGTGGACATGGACGTGGACGTGGACGTGGACGTGGACGTGGACGTGGACGTGGACGTGGACGTGGACATGGACGTGGACGTGGACGTGGACATGGACGTGGACGTGGACATGGACGTGGACGTGGACATGGACGTGGACGTGGACGTGGACGTGGACGTGGACGTGGACATGGACGTGGACATGGACGTGGACGTGGACGTGGACGTGGACGTGGACGTGGACGTGGACGTGGACATGGACGTGGACGTGGACATGGACATGGACGTGGACGTGGACGTGGACGTGGACGTGGACGTGGACGTGGACGTGGACGTGGACGTGGACGTGGACGTGGACGTGGACGTGGACGTGGACGTGGACGTGGACGTGGACATGGACGTGGACGTGGACATGGACGTGGACGTGGACGTGGACATGGACGTGGACGTGGACATGGACGTGGACGTGGACATGGACGTGGACGTGGACGTGGACATGGACGTGGACGTGGACGTGGACATGGACGTGGACATGGACGTGGACGTGGACGTGGACGTGGACATGGACGTGGACGTGGACGTGGACGTGGAAATGGACGTGGACGTGGACGTGGACGTGGACGTGGACGTGGACGTGGACATGGACGTGGACGTGGACGTGGACATGGACGTGGACATGGACATGGACGTGGACGTGGACGTGGACGTGGACATGGACGTGGACGTGGACGTGGACATGGACGTGGACATGGACGTGGACGTGGACGTGGACGTAGACATGGACGTGGACGTGGACGTGGACATGGACGTGGACGTGGACGTGGACGTGAACGTGGACGTGGACGTGGACGTGGACGTGGACATGGACGTGGACGTGGACGTGGACGTGGACGTGGACGTGGACGTGGACGTGGACGTGGACATGGACGTGGACATGGACGTGGACGTGGACATGGACGTGGACGTGGACGTGGACGTGGACGTGGACGTGGACGTGGACGTGGACATGGACGTGGACATGGACGTGGACGTGGACATGGACGTGGACATGGACGTGGACGTGGACGTGGACGTGGACGTGGACGTGGACATGGACGTGGACGTGGACGTGGACGTGGACGTGGACGTGGACGTGGACGTGGACATGGACGTGGACGTGGACGTGGACATGGACGTGGACGTGGACGTGGACATGGACGTGGACGTGGACGTGGACGTGGACGTGGACGTGGACGTGGACGTGGACGTGACGTGGACGTGGACGTAGACGTGGACGTGGACGTGGACGTGGACGTGGACGTGGACGTGGACGTGGACGTGGACATGGACGTGGACATGGACGTGGACATGGACATGGACGTGGACGTGGACGTGGACGTGGACATGGACGTGGACGTGGACGTGGACGTGGACGTGGACGTGGACGTGGACGTGGACGTGGACATGGACGTGGACGTGGACGTGGACGGGGACGTGGACGTGGACATGGACGTGGACGTGGACGTGGACGTGGACGTGGACGTGGACGTGGACGTGGACATGGACGTGGACGTGGACATGGACGTGGACGTGGACGTGGACGTGGACGTGGACGTGGACGTGGACATGGACGTGGACGTGGACGTGGACATGGACGTGGACGTGGACGTGGACGTGGAATGGACGTGGACGTGGACATGGACGTGGACGTGGACGTGGACGTGGACGTGGACGTGGACGTGGACGTGGACGTGGACGTGGAATGGACGTGGACGTGGACGTGGACGTGGACGTGGACGTGAAATGGACGTGGACGTGGACGTGGACATGGACGTGGACGTGGAATGGACGTGGACGTGGACGTGGACATGGACGTGGACGTGGACGTGGACATGGACGTGGACATGGACGTGGACATGGACGTGGACGTGGACATGGACGTGGACGTGGACATGGACGTGGACGTGGACGTGGACGTGGACGTGGAAATGGACGTGGACGTGGACGTGGACATGGACGTGGACGTGGACGTGGACATGGACGTGGACGTGGACGTGGACGTGGACGTGGACGTGGACGTGGACGTGGACATGGACGTGGACATGGACGTGGACTGGACGTGGACATGGACGTGGACGTGGACATGGACGTGGACGTGGACATGGACGTGGACGTGGACGTGGACGTGGACGTGGACGTAGAAATGGACGTGGACGTGGACGTGGACGTGGACGTGGACGTAGAAGTGGACGTGGACGTGGACATGGACGTGGACGTGGACATGGACGTGGACGTGGACATGGACGTGGACATGGACGTGGACATGGACGTGGACGTGGACGTGGACATGGACGTGGACGTGGACATGGACGTGGACGTGGACGTGGACATGGACGTGGACGTGGACGTGGACATGGACGTGGACATGGACATGGACGTGGACGTGGACGTGGACGTGGACGTGGACGAGGACGTGGACATGGACGTGGACGTGGACGTGGACGTGGACGTGGACGTGGACGTGGACGTGGACGTGGACGTGGACATGGACGTGGACGTGGACGTGGACGTGGACGTGGACGTGGACGTGGACGTGGACGTGGACGTAGACGTGGACGTGGACGTGGACGTGGACGTGGACGTGGACATGGACGTGGACTTGGACGTGGACGTGGACGTGGACGTGGACATGGACGTGGACATGGACATGGACGTGGACGTGGACGTGGACGTGGACGTGGACGTGGACGTGGAAATGGACGTGGACGTGGACGTGGACGTGGACGTGGACGTGGAAGTGGACGTGGACGTGGACATGGACGTGGACGTGGACATGGACGTGGACGTGGACGTGGACGTGGACGTGGACGTAGACATGGACGTGGACATGGAGTGGACGTGGACGTGGACGTGGACATGGACGTGGACGTGGACGTGGACGTGGACGTGGACGTGGACGTGGACGTGGACATGGACGTGGACGTGGACGTGGACGTGGACGTGAACTTGGACGTGGACGTGGACGTGGACGTGGACGTGGACGTGGACATGGACGTGGACGTGGACATGGACGTGGACGTGGACGTGGACATGGACGTGGACGTGGACGTGGACGTGGACGTGGAGGACGTGGACGTGGAGGACGTGGACATGGACGTGGAGGACGTGGACGTGGACGTGGAGGACGTGGACGTGGACGTGGACGTGGACGTGGACGTGGAGTGGACGTGGACGTGGACGTGGACCTGGACGTGGACGTGGACGTGGAACTGGACGTGGACGTGGACGTGGACGTGGACGTGGACGTGGACGTGGACATGGACGTGGACCTGGACGTGGACGTGGACGTGGACATGGACGTGGACATGGACGTGGACATGGACGTGGACGTGGACGTGGACGTGGACGTAGACATGGACGTGGACGTGGACATGGACATGGACATGGACGTGGACGTGGACGTGGACGTGGACGTGGACGTGGACGTGGACGTGGACGTGGACGTGGACGTGACGTGGACGTGGACATGGACGTGGACGTGGACGTGGACGTGGACGTGGACGTGGACGTGGACGTGGACGTGGACGGGACGTGGACATGGACGTGGACGTGGACGTGGACGTGGACGTGGACATGGACGTGGACGTGGACATGGACATGGACGTGGACGTGGACGTGGACATGGACGTGGACGTGGACGTGGACGTGGACGTGGACGTGGACGTGGACATGGACGTGGACATGGACGTGGACATGGACGTGGACGTGGACGTGGACGTGGACGTGGACATGGACGTGGACGTGGACATGGACGTGGACATGGACGTGGACGTGGACGTGGACGTGGACGTGGACGTGGACGTGGACGTGGACGTGGACGTGGACGAGGACGTGGACATGGACGTGGACGTGGATGTGGACGTGGACGTAGACGTGGACGTGGACGTGGACGTGGACGTGGACATGGACGTGGACATGGACGTGGACTTGGACGTGGACGTGGACGTGGACGTGGACATGGACGTGGACGTGGACATGGACGTGGACGTGGACGTGGACGTGGACGTAGAAATGGACGTGGACGTGGACGTGGACGTGGACGTGGACGTAGAAGTGAACGTGGACGTGGACATGGACGTGGACTTGGACATGGACGTGGACGTGGACAAGGACGTGGACATGGACGTGGACATGGACGTGGACGTGGACGTGGACGTGGACATGGACGTGGACGTGGACATGGACGTGGACGTGGATGTGGACGTGGACGTGGACATGGACGTGGACGTGGACGTGGACATGGACGTGGACGTGGACGTGGACGTGGACGTGGACGTGGACGTGGACGTGGACGTGGACGTGGACGTGGACGTGGACGTGGACGTGACGTGGACGTGGACGTGGACGTGGACGTGGACGTGGACGTGGACGTGGACGTGGACGTGGACATGGACGTGGACGTGGACGTGGACGTGGACTTGGACGTGGACTTGGACGTGGACGTGGACGTGGACGTGGACTGGACGTGGACGTGGACGTGGACGTGGACGTGGACGTGGACGTGGACGTAGAAATGGACGTGGACGTGGACGTGGACGTGGACGTGGACGTAGAAGTGGACGTGGACGTGGACATGGACGTGGACGTGGACATGGACGTGGACGTGGACGTGGACGTGGACGTGGACGTAGACATGGACGTGGACATGGAGGTGGACGTGCACGTGCACGTGGACATGGACGTGGACGTGGACGTGGACGTGGTCGTGGACGTGGACGTGGACGTGGACATGGACGTGGACGTGGACGTGGACGTGGACGTGAACTTGGACGTGGTCGTGGTCGTGGACGTGGACGTGGACGTGTCATGGACGTGGACGTGGACATGGACGTGGTCGTGGTCGTGGACATGGACGTGGACGTGGTTGTGGACGTGGACGTGGAGGACGTGGACGTGGAGGACGTGGACATGGACGTGGAGGACGTGGACGAGGACGTGGAGGACGTGGACGTGGACGTGGACGTGGACGTGGACGTGGACGTGGAAGTGGACGTGGACGTGGACGTGGACCTGGACCTGGACCTGGACGTGGAACTGGACGTGGACGTGGACGTGGACGTGGACGTGGAAGTGGACGTGGACATGGACGTGGACCTGGACGTGGACCTGGACGTGGACATGGACGTGGACATGGACGTGGACATGGACGTGGACGTGGACGTGGACGTGGACGTAGACATGGACGTGGACGTGGACATGCACATGGACATGGACGTGGACGTGGACGTCGACATGGACGTGGACATGGACATGGACATGGACGTGGACGTGGACGTGGACATGGACGTAGAAATGGACGTGGACGTGGACGTGGACGTGGACATGGACGTAGAAATGGACGTGGACGTGGACGTGGACGTGGACATGGACGTGGACGTGGACGTAGACATGGACGTGGACATGGACGTTGACGTGGACGTGGACGTGGACGTGGACGTGGACGTAGAAATGGAGGTGGACGTGGACGTGGACCTGGACGTTGACGTGGACGTGGACCTGGACTTGACGTGCGCGTGGACGTGGACGTGGACGTGGAGGACGTGGACGTGGAGGTGGACGTGGACGTGGACGTGGACATGGACGTGGACGTGGATGAGGACGAGGACGTGGACGTGGACGTGGATGGACGTGGACGTGGACGTGGACGTGGACGTGGACGTGGTCGTGGACGTGGACGTGGACGTGGACGTGGACGTGGACCTGGACGTTGACGTGGACGTGGACGTGGACGTGGACGTGGAGGACATGGACGTGGACGTGGACGTGGAGGACATGGACGTGGACGTGGACGTGGACGTGGACGTGGACGTGGAAATGGACGTGGACGTGGACGTGGACGTGGACGTGGACGTGGACTAGACGTGGACGTGGACGTGGACGTGGACGTGGAGGTGGACGTGGACGTGGACGTGGACGTGGACGTGGACGTGGACGAGGAGGAGGACGTGGACGTGGACGTGGACGTGGACGTGGATGTGGACCTGGACGTTGACGTGGACGTGGACCTGGACGTTGACGTGCGCGTGGACGTGGACGTGGACGTGGAGGACGTGGACGTGGACGTGGACATGGACGTGGACGTGGACGTGGACGTGGACGTGGACCTGGACGTCGATGGCACGTGGACCTGGACGTGGAGGTGGACGTGGAGGACATGGACGTGGACGTGGACGTGGACGTGGACGTGGACGTAGAAATGGACGTGGACGTGGACGTGGACGTTGACGCGGACGTGGACATGGACGTGGACGTCGACGTTGACGTGGACCTGGATGTTGACGTGGATCTGGACGAGGACGTGGACGTGGACGTGGAGGACATGGACGTGGACGTGGACGTGGACGTGGACGTAGAAATGGACGTGGACGTGGACATGGACGTGGACGTGGACGTGGACATGGACATTGACGTGGACGTGGACTGGACGTGGACGTGCACGTGGAGGTGGACGTGGACGTGGACGTGGACGTGGACCTGGACGTTGACGTGCACGTGGACGTGGACCTGGACGTGGACGTGGACGTGGAGGACATGGACGTGGACGTGGACGTGGACGTGGACGAGGACGAGGACGTGGACGTGGACGTGGACGTGGACGTGGACGTGGAGGACGTGGACGAGGACGTGGACGTGGACGTGGACGTGGACGTGGACGTGGACGTGGACGTGGACCTGGACCTGGACGTTGACGTGCACGTGGACGTGGACGTGGACGTGGAGGACATGGACGTGGACGTGGACGTGGACGTTGACGTGGACGTGGACGTGGACATGGACGTGGACGTGGACGTGGACGTGGACGTGGACGTGGACATGGACGTGGACCTGGACGTGGACGTGGACGTGGACGTGGACCTGGACCTGGACCTGGACGTTGACGTGCACGTAGACGTGGACGTGGACGTGGACGTGGACGTGGACGTGGAGGACATGGACGTGGACGTGGACGTTGACGTGGACGTGGACGTGGACGTGGACGAGGAGGAGGACAAGGACGTGGACGTGGACGTGGACATGGACGTACACGTGAACGTGGACGTGGACGTGGACATGGACGTGGACGTGGACGTGGACGTGGACATGGTCGTGGACGTGGACGTGGACGTGGACATGGACGTGGACGTGGACGTGGAGGTGGACGTGGACGTGGTCCTGGACGTGGACGTGGACGTGGACGTGGACGTGGACATGGACGTGGACGTGGACGTGGACATGGACGTGGACGTTGACATGGACGTGGACATGGACATGGTCGTGGACATGGACATGGTCGTGGACGTGGACGTAGACATGGACATGGTCGTGGACATGGACATGGACGTGGACATGGACATGGTCGTGGACATGGACATGGTCGTGGACGTGGACGTGGACATGGACATGGTCGTGGACATGGACATGGTCGTGGACATGGACATGGACGTGGACATGGACGTGGACATGGACATGGTCGTGGACGTGGACGTGGACGTGGACATGGACGTTGACGTGGACATGGACGTGGTCATGGACGTGGACGTGGACGTGGACATAGACGTGGACGTGGACGTGGACATAGATGTGGACGTGGACATAGATGTGGTCGTGGTCGTGGACGTGGACGTGGACGTGGTCATGGACGTGGATATGGACGTGGACGTGGAGGACGTGGACGTGGAGGACGTGGAGGACGTGGACGTGGAGGACGTGGACGTGGAGGACGTGGACGTGGACGTGGACGTAGACGTGGTCGTGGACGTGGACGTTGACGTGGACGTGGACGTGGACGTGGTCGTGGACGTGGAGGACTTGGACGTTGACATGGACGTGGACGTGGACGTGGACGTGGACGTGGACATGGTCGTGGACGTGGACGTGGACGTGGACATGGACGTGGATGTGGACGTGGACGTGGAAGTGGACGTGGACGTGGACATGGATGTGGACGTGGACGTGGACGTGGACATCGACGTGGAGCTTGCGTGGTCGAGGAGCGTGCCTGGTCCATGGGCTTGCGTGATCCAGGAGCTTGCCTGGTCCAGGAGCTTGCTTGGTCCAGAAGCTTGCCTGGTCCAGGAGCTTGCCTTGTCTAGGAGCTTGCCTGGTCCAGGAGCTTGCCTCGTCCAAGAGCTTGCGTGGTCGAGGAGCTTACCTGGTCCATGAGCTTGCCTCGTCGAAGAGCTTGCCTTATCAAGGAGCTTGCCTGGTCCAAGAGCTTTCCTGGTCCAGGAGCGTGCCTGATCTAGGAGCTTGCTTGGACAAGGAGCTTGCCTGATCCAAAAGCTTGCCTTGTCCAAGAGCTTGCCTGGTCCAGGAGCTTGCTTGGTCCAAGAGCTTGCTCGGTCCAAGCTTGCCTAGTCCAGGAGCATGCCTAGTCTAAGAGCTTGCCTGGTCGAGGAGGTTGCCTCGTCAAGGAGCTTGCCTGGACCAGGAGCTGGCCTGGTCCAAAAGCGTGCCTGAAGCTAAAATGCGCCTGGTCCAGGAGCGTGCCTGGTCCAGGAGCTTGCCTGGTCCACGATCGTGCCTGGTCTAGGTGCTTGCCTGGTCCACGAGCTAGCCTCGTCCTAGAGCTTGTCTGGTCCAGGAGCGTCCTTGGTCGAGGAGCTTCCCTGGTCCAGGAGCTTGCCTGGTCCAAGAGCTTGCCTGGTCCTGGAGCTTCACTGGTCCAAGAGCTTGCCAGGTGCAAGAGCTTGTCAGGTCCAGGTGCATGCCGGGACCAAGAGCTTGCCTGGTCCAGGAGCTTGCCTCATCAAGTAGCTTGCCTGGTCCAGGAGCTGGCCTGGTCCTGGAGCGTGCCTGGTCTTGGAATGTGTCTTGTCTAGGAGCGTGCCTAGTCCATGAGCTTGCCTCGTCTAGGAGCGTGCCTGGTCAAGGAGCTTGCCTGGTCCACGAGCTTGCCTGGTCCAAGAGCTTGCCTAGTCCAAGAGCTTGCCTGGTCCAAGAGCTTGCCTAGTCCACAAGCTTGCCTGGTCCAGGAGCTTGCCTGGCCCACGACCTTGCCTGGTCTAGGAGCTTGCCTGGTCCAGGAGCGTGCTTGGTCCAGGAGCTTGCGTGATCCAGGAGCTTGCTTCGTCCATGAGCTTGCCTTGTCCAGGATCTTGCTTGGTCCAGGAGCGTGCCTGGTCCACGAGTTTGCCTAGTCCAGGAGCTTGCCTCGTCCAGGAGCTTGCCTGGTCTAGGAGCTTGTGTGGTCCAGGAGCGTGAGTGGTCCACGAGCTTGCCTTGTCCAGAGCTTGCCTGGTCTAGGAGCTTGCCTAGTCCATGAGCGTGCCTGGTCCAGGAGTGTGCCTGGTCTAGGAGCTTGCCTGGTCCAGGAGCTTGTCTTTTCCAGGAGCTTGCCTTATCGAGGAGCGTGCCTGGTCCAGGAGTGTGCCTGGTTGTGGAGCTTGCTTGGTCCAGAAGTCGCCTGGTCCAAGAGCTTGCTTGGTCCAGGAGCTTGCCTAGTCGAAGAGCTTGCCTGGTCGAAGAGCGTGCCTGTCGAGGAGTGTGCCTGGTCGAGGAGCTTGCCTGGTCCAGGAGCTTGCCTTGTCCAGGAGCTTGCCTGGACCAAGAGCTTGCCTAGTCCAGGAGCTTGCGTGGTCCAGGAGCTTGCCTTGTCCAGGAGCTTGCCTGGTCTACGAGCTTGCTGGTCCAGGAGCTTGCCTGGTCCAGGAGCTTGCTTGGTCCAGAAGCGTTCCTCGGCCAAGAGCTTGCCTGGTCCAAGAGCATGCCTGGTCCAAGAGATTGCGTGGTCCAGTAGCTTGCCTTGTCCAGCAGCTTGCCTGGTCCACGAGCGTGCCTGGTCCAGGAGCTTGCTTGATGCAGGAGCTTGCCTGGTCCAGGAGCGTGCTTGGTCTAGGAGCTTGCCTGTTCAAGGAGCTTGCCTTGTCTATGTTCTTGCCTGGTCCAGGAGCTTGCCTGGTCCAAGAGCTTGCCTGGTCCAGGATCTTGCCTGGTCCAAGAGCTTGCCTGGTCCTAGAGCTTGCGTGGTCCAGGAGCTTGCCTGGTCCAAGAGCTTGCCTGGTCCAGGAGCTTGCCTGGTCTAGGAGCTTGCCTGGTCGAGGAGCGTGCCTGGTCCAGGAGCTTGCCTAGTCTAGGAGCTTTTCTGGTCCAGCAGCGTGCCTGGTCTAGGAGCTTGCCTGATCGAGGAGCTTGCCTTGTCCACGAGCTTGCCTGGTTTAGGAGCTTGCCTGGTCAACGAGCTTGCCTGTTCCAGGAACGTGTCTTGTCCAGGAGCTTGCTTGGTCCAGAAGCCTGCCTGGTCCAAGAGCTTGCCTGGTTAAGAAGCGTGCCTTGTCCAAGAGCTTGCCTGGTCCAGGAGCTTGCCTAGTCCAGGAGCTTGCCTGGTCCAGGAGCTTGCCTAGTCCAGGAGCTTGCCTGGTCCAGGAGCTTGCCTGGTGCAGGAGCTTGCCTAGTCCAGGAGCTTGCCTGGTCCAGGAGCTTGCCTGGTCCAGGAGCGTGCCTGGTCCTCGAGCGTGCATGGTCCAGGAGCGTGCCTGGTACAGGAGCGTGCCTGGTCCAGGAGCTTGCCTGGTCTAACAGATTGCCTGGTCCAGGAGCGTGCCTGGTCCAGGAGCTTGCCTGGTCCAAGAGCTTGCCTAGTCCAGGAGCTTGGCTGGTCAGGAGCTTGCCTGGTCCAAGAGCTTGCCTGGTCCAGGAGCTTGCTTGGTCCAGAAGCCTGCCTGGTCCAAGAGCTTGCCTGGTTAAGGAGCGTGCCTTGTCCAAGAGCTTGCCTGGTCCAGGAGCTTGCCTAGTCCAGGAGCTTGCCTAGTCAAGGAGCTTGCCTAGTCCAGGAGCTTGCCTGGTCCAGGAGCTTGCCTGGTCCAGGAGCTTGCCTGGTCCAGGAGCGTGCCTGGTCCAGGAGCGTGCCTGGTCCAGGAGCGTGCCTGGTCCAGGAGCGTGCCTGGTCCAGGAGCGTGCCTGGTCCAGGAGCGCGCCTGGTCCAGGAGCTTGCCTGGTCTAACAGCTTGCCTGGTCCAGGAGCGTGCCTAGTCCAGGAGCTTGCCTGATCTAGTAGCTTGCCTGGTCTAGGAGCTTGCCTAGTCCAGGAGCTTGCCTGGTTCAGGAGCATGCCTGGTCCAGGAGCTTGCCTGGTCCAGGAGCCTGCCTGGTCCTAGAGCTTGCCTGGTCCAGGAGCTTGCCTGGTGCAGGACATTGCCTGGTCCAGGAGCTTGCCTGGTCCAGGAGCGTGCCTGGTCCAGGAGCATGCCTGGTCCAGGAGCGTGCCTGGTCCAGGAGTGTGCCTGGTCCAGGAGCGTGCCTGGTCCAGGAGCTTGCCTGGTCTAACAGCTTGCCTGGTCCAGGAGCGTGCCTGGTCCAGGAGCTAGCCTGATCCAGGAGCTTGCCTGGTCCAAGAGCTTACCTGGACTAGGATCTTGCCTGGTCCAGGAGCATGCCTGGTCCACGAGCTTGCCTGGTCCAAGAGCTTGCCTGGTCCAGGAGCTTGCCTCGTCCAGGAGCGTGCTTGGTCCAGGAGCTTGCCTGGTCTAGGAGCTTGCCTGGTCTAACAGCTTGCCAGAACCAGGAGCGTGCCTGGTCCAGGAGCTTGCCTGATCCAGGACTTGCCTAGTCCAAGAGCTTGCCTGGTCTAGGATCTTGCCTAGTCCAGGAGCATGCCTGGTCCACGAGCTTGCCTGGTCCAAGAGCTTGCCTGGTCCAAGAGCTTGCCTGGTCCAGGATCTTGCCTGGTCCAGGAGCTTGCCTGGTCCGGGAGCTTCCCTGGTCCAGGAGCTTGCCTGGTCTAGGAGCTTGCCTGGTCCAGGAGCCTGCCTTGTCTTGGAGCTTGCCTGGTCCAGGAGCTTGCCAGGTCCTGGAGCGTGCTTGGTCCACAAGCTTGCCTAGTCAAGGAGCTTGCCAAATCTAGGAGCTTGCCTGGTCCAACAACTTGCCTGGTCCAAGTGCTTGCTTGGTCCAGGAGCGTGCCTGGTCCAAGAGCTTGCCTGGTCCAGGAGCTTGCCTGGTCCACAGATTGCCCGGTCCAGGAGCTTGCGTGGTCCAGGAGCTTGCTTGGTCTTGGATCTTGCCTGGTCCAGGAGCTTGCCTGGTCCAGGAGCGTGCCTGGTCCACGTGTTTGCGTGGTTCAGGAGCTTGCCTGGTCCACGAATTTGCCTGGTCCAAGAGCTTGCCTGGTCCAGGAGCTTGCCTGGTCTAGGAGCTTGCCTGGTCCAGGAACTTGCCTGGTCCAGGAGCTTGCCTGGTCCACGAGTTTGCCTGGTCCAGGAGCTTGCTTGGTCCAGGAGCTTGCGTGGTCCAGGAGCTTGCGTAGTCTAGGAGCCTGCCTGGTCTAGGAGCTTGCCTGGTCTAACAGCTTGCCTCGTCCAAGAGCTTGCTTGGTCCAGGAGCATAATGATCCAAGAGCTTGCCCAGTCAAGGAGCTTGCCTGGTCCAGGAGCTTTCCTGGTCCAGGAGCTTGCCTGGTCCAGGAGCTTGCTTGGTCGAGAAGCCTGCCTGGTCCAAGAGCTTGCCTTCTGCAGGAGCGTGCCTTGTCCAAGAGCTTGCGTGGTCTAGGAGCTTGCCAGGTCCAAGAGCCTGCGTGGTCCAGGAGCTTGCCTGGTCAAGGAGCTTGCCTGGTCCAGAATCGTGCCTGGTCCACGAGGGTGCGTGGTCCAGGAGCTTGCCTGGTCCACGAGCCTGCCTGGTCCAGGAGCTTGCCTGGTCCAGGAGCTTGCCTGGTCCACGAGCTTGCCTGTCCACGAGCTTGCCTGGTCTAGAGCTTGCCTGGTCCAGGAGCTTGCCTGGTCCAGGAGCTTGCCTGGTCCGGAGGTTGCCTGGTCCAAGAGCGTGCGTGATCCGCGAACTTGCCTGGTAGAGGAGCTTGCCTAGTCCAGGAGTTGCCTGGTCCAGGAGCTTGCCTAGTCCGGTGCTTGTCTGGTCCACGAGCTTGCTGGTGCACGAGTTTGCCTGGTCCAGGAGCTTGCCTGTCCAGGAGCTTGCTTAGTCCAGTAGCTTGCCTAATCTAGGAGCTCGCCTGGTCCAGGAGCGTGCCTGGTCCACGAGCTTGCCTAGTACAGGAGCTTGCATGGTCCAGGAGCTTGCCTGGTCCAGGAGCGTGCCTGGTCCAAGAGCTTACCTAGTCCAGGAGCTTGCATGGTCCAGGAGCTTGCCTGGTTCACGAGTTTGCCTGGTCCAGGAGCTTGTCTGGTCCAGGAGTTTGCCTGGTCTAGGAGCTTGCCTGGTCCAGGAGCGTGCCTGGTCCAGGAGCTTGCCTGGTCCAGGAGCTTGCCTAGTCCAGGAGCTTGCCTGGTCCAGGAGCGTGCCTGATCCACGAGCCTGCCTGGTCCAAGGGCTTGCCTGGTC